ATAGAAAGTGTACTGTATTTGGGTATGACTTATGTTAAAAATAGATGTTTTTTGTTTATTACAATTTCATACATAAAAATAATTACGTAAATCCCACAAGAATTTAAATGATAAAATATCTATTTCTAGTTTACATGCGTTTCTATTGCTTTGCAATACTTATAAATAATGCATAATAATATCAATACCTAATTATTTTAAATGAATTTTGTAATTCATATTTCAATTCGTGATTATTTTAGTTGATTTTTGACAAATATTTTTCATATTTTACAAAAATTATATTATTATTGTCTAAAATATTGCTAAATACTAGAAAATTCAAGTAGTGTGAGATATGAATAAACATGACATCGAATATATGATTATCATGGTTGTTTACACAAACTGTATAGCTTCACATGTGCTCATAAAAATGTACAATAATTATTGTCAAATGGGTTAAGTATTGTACAGTACAGTGCATTTTGGTGCATATGTTTTAGGCATTCAACTCATAGCAAACAAAATAAGTTTAATTAAAATGCAAATTTGGGAAAATCCTTCAAATCCAGTTTTAATTAAAGTAAAAATTATTTTTTAAAAATTTTGCATTTAATTATAAGTATTTTATATTGTATTCAAAGAAATTGTTTACAATCATATTTACAATTTAGTTTTATTTAAAAATTTTAGGCTACTTATTTTATATGTATTTTATAAATTAGTTTTATTACGGTATGAAAAACAAAATTATATTCAAAAATAGAAACAAATTGAATATTTATTATAAACCGCTGTAAATACTGTTAAATTATTTAAACATTTGAGACTTGTTTAAAAAGTTTCTCGAAAAATGCATATTTTTGGAAAACTATTTAATTATTAAATATAATCTTTTAGTACTATATTTAACAAACAATATGCTGTATATTATCTATTTTAAGTACTACACGTGTCTTCTTGACATTTAAAATACTAAATTAAAATATTTTTAAGTATTCACATTCACAGTATTCCTCGTCAGTCATTTCCAATTGTCATTACATACAGAATATGATGGAAGTGTACAGTAAGTAAAGTAGACATTAATATCCAGATCCAGTCGATGGCATAAATGGTTACATAAATATTGGTTAATAACGTTATAAAAGAAGTTTTTGAAAATGTGATTTTATTTGTAAACTAATGGGTATATATATTATTACATTACATTTAATGATACAAATATTTAACAAATGGATTATGTTGTAAATATGATTTCTTATCCCATAAGTCATCGTTTAGTGATAAAACATTTATCAGGTTTTATCTTAAAATCTATATATTCTTCGAGACATTCAAGCTTTATATTTAATAATTGTATTTCAAATGATTTGAATTTTACGATATTTTTAAATATTGCTCTGAATTTTAGTATTTAATTAATTGATAAATGAAGTACTCGTTTGGACTCTTAATTGGGAAAACGTCTCTAATGTCGAAACAATGAGTTTTAATATTTTGAACTAAACTTATTTTACATATATATTTATATAAAGGGAACACAAATTATTAATGTATTATTTATTTAATATTATGTTCACTAGAATTGAATGTAAGCTCTGATGACTTTGTCGAAGCAATCAATGCTTGGTTTTCTCGTTAATGCAATTGAAATAACGATTTACTTCATTAGATATTGATGTTTGAAATGATTTTTTCTTTTGCCTAAAAATTGTTCGTAGATTTCAATTAACATTTATTATAAAAACAATGACTAAGTTTTTGGCAATAAAACACTGTTAATACAGTATAACAGTACGGAATATAAAAGGATTGTTTTTCACTGCAAAACACCGTTGACTGGAAATTATTTCTCAAATTAGGGGAAGAATTCAATTTAATTGTGCAATAAGTCTGCCCTTTGACCACATCTTCGCATCGATTGCTCGTTCAGTCCCAACAAAAGCACTGCCAAACCACTCATGACAGTCATCGTAAGTCTGCAACATTTGATTTGGACCCAAATATTTTGACCAATTGGTCCTCATAATGGTTAAAGTTTCGCTTCATTATATCCATCACTGGACCCAACAGGCGCTCAAACGCGTGCACATCCAGAACTGTAACCAATCATTCAAACCATTAATACTTATTACATGATTAATGACAATATAAATAAATAAATAAATTGCATTACAGGCCAGCTTTACTTCAGCACTTTGAGCATAAGCTGATGCCGCTCTGGGCCGATGTGTTATCAGTGCTAATTCACCAAAATATCCTCCTTTTTCTAGACGTGACAATTCCTGTTCGTGTCCCTCCTTTTCGGTCAAATCAATATTAAGTGACAATTATTTGAAATTAAAATCCAAACATTTTGCGCTCACTTCAGTAATTTTGGTGATCCTTACAATGCCTTCCTGAACGAAATACATACCGTCCGCCTCGTCGTCCTATTATTGCAATTATTCTATTAATTTTCTAAATTTAATTCTATGTTTTATATTGTATTAATGTATTATATTTGTACCATTCTGTTTTTGTCATTTTTAATCATTTTATAAATATGATATATTTTTTAATTGGGCATTTTTTTAATTTAAAAATTTCTTTTGATTGAATAAAAATCTTATAATAAGAGTAAAAATCGTACAAAGATTGACAATTAAGTTAAGTATTGTATTATTGTATTCAATCCCTATATTGAACCTCTAATTTGTTCAAAACCTTAGAATTAAAGGACTTGGAGTTAAACTAAGACTTAATTGATTTCTAGTAATTCATGGATTAATTTGATTAGTATTGAAATCTAGACTAAGACTCACTTGTCTTATAATAAGGTCTCCGGAGACGAATCTTCGCGGCAACAGAGCATCACTTAATGACATCTTTTCGTAGGGCTAAGGATTAGACGATTATTTAATTATTGCATATGTTTTGCTTGAATTCAAAACAAATCCAGGGATATAAGGGAAGGGAGAATAAGTGTGTTTGTTCATTACTTCCAATGATTTGAGCATGTCCACTTTTTCAATTAAGTTCTCGTATTCTTTCCTCTTCCTAAAAGCTCTTTTCAGAACTATTTTTCGGAAAGTGTGTCGACTCTAGAGATATAGTTTGGATTAAAAGCCATTCAAATGATGTGATTGAAAGGCTATTGAAAGCAAACCATTCATACCATAGCCCAGAGTGAGCCGACTGTCATGGCTTTGACAGTGGCTGCTCGCGGCATATTATACATGAGCGCCAATTCACCAAAACTACCCGAACCCGTGTATTCACCCACTTCTCGCTCAGACCCGTCGTCTACTGACACCACAATTTTATAGGTCCCACTATTTAGAGCCAAACGTTTGCGTTAATTCAATGATTTGCAAATCACTCGCAAATTGTAATATTATTTATAAGATTTATAATTTTCAAATTAAATTCTTGTCAAAAACTCACTCCGATATGACATAGAAGTAGTCGCCGTCATCTCCCTGTCTGATGACGATCTCTCCCTCTTCGACCTTCAAATTCATTTTAAATGATAAACTCATTAATAAATGCAAGAATTTATTATTTATTACAATTTTGTTAATTGCATCAAATATTTTCGCTATTGATTAAAATGCAGTTAAATAATTGCTTACTTTTCTTTCAAACATAGCATCGATTACTTCAGACATTTCCAACTAAAAACAAGAATTTAAAATGTTGTTAAATTCAATATTTTATTAATTTATTCATATATTAGTTGTATTTTTAATTAATTAATGTTTAACTTAAAGCTTAACTAGCCAAAAATGGGGTCATATTTAAACTAATTGATAAAAGCCCTTATAATAAAGCGTTAGAAAATAGGATCAAATTTTCTTAAATTTAAAGCTCAATAAAGTTATACTAATTTATTTATTGTTAAATTACAGTAATTATAATGCAGTGACCATGTTTAATTAATGCAGTATTTCATAGCATCCTATCTTAGCAATAAATATAAATAAAACTATAGAGACGTTTCTCATATAAAATATTAATTAATAAGCAGTTTATCAAAGTGTTTGACTTGTAATAAATAAGTACTCACGGGATCTAATGAACGGAAGAGTAATATATTTTTAACCGCTTCTCCCAATCTCTGCCGCTGTTCATCGCTTTTGGGATAAATTATCTGAAAATAGTAGATATAATCACAGATTAATAAAAGCTTAAATCAAATAATAACTAAAACGTGTGAACAAACCTTTTCATTGTCGTCGTCTTCGTCCTCTTCCGGGTCGTAGTGTTCGGCAAATACTTAAACGAAATATATTTTGTTAATAATTACACTAATGTTTTGTCTTTACAAATAAACCCTCACCTGATTTCCTACGTGTAAACGACAGTCTGACCGGTGGTTCTGATTCAATAGGAATGCAAACAATTAATAAGAGTTTTGTGTGAATTATATACTGTCTTGAAGTTCATATTTAGTCTCTAAATAATTTAGTAAAATATGTTTATAATAGAGATTTATTTATATTGTTTTAAATAAATGTTATTAAATTGAATAAATAAACATTAATATAAAATAAAAGTATTAAAGATAAACATAATTGGAGAGCAAAATGCGTTGATTATCATATTGTGATCCAAATTCAAACACATTAACAGTTAATTATGAGATGAAATTTCATTGACGAGAAGCCAATAAAAATATTCATTTATGTCTTTAGTAATCAAATAAATTGTAAAATTTAAAAAAGACTACTTTTACTCCAATCGTATTAAACAATTAAATTGAATTTATTTTATTACAAAATCAATACATTAATTAGTTTTCACCCATTCATTATACGGTCTGTCCCCGATTTTGACATATCATATGGGCTGTAAAAAATGTATGCCAAAGTCGGATTCTGCTAAAATAGGGTACATTAACAGTACTAATATGAATCAACGGGGCTAACAAAACATTATGCTAAAATTGAGAAAGGCTAAAATCGCCTGCGCTAAAATCGGGGACAGACTGTAATTGTATATTTAAATTCATAAATTTAAACTGCAATTTACATTCATTTATTTAAATATGAATTTAAAATAATGATAATTCATAATTTTAATTAAAAGGCAAGAAAATCGTGGTAATCCAAACCAAAAGAAATGTTTGCACAACACATGCCTTTGGAATATTCTCATTAAAGATAAGATATTTTGGAATATAATTAAAAATAAATATCAACTATTTATGTGTTTTATGCAAAGTATATTAAAATAATCTCTAGATTCTAAATTCTATAATATAGAGTTATTTACATTATTAAATTAAAACAATTAGAATGCATTTTTGTTCAAGTTAAATTTATTATTTTATAAAACAATCCTTGAAATGTTTTAACATGTGAAACAATGAAATGTTTTATGTTTCTAAAAACATTTAGTTAATTAAAAATTAATATTATTAATAAACTTTTCAAATAAATTGCAGAATATATTTGAGTAAAATAAATGTTGTGCTAAATATACACATAATGTAAACCGTTGTAAACAACAGATTGTTTGGTCGGATATACATATTATTTATCATGTAATTGTGTGTTTGCTTATCTGTCAATTTGCTTGTACTGTATATAATAAATAATGTGCGATAACTGATATGTATATTTAATATAACGATATTTTAATATATGAATTAATTATGTTATTCTTGTATAATTAATTAAAAAATAATTTTATTATAACTATTTTATATCATTTTAAATGATTCATTTATAGGAAATTTGTATTAAACCTGTCGATGAAATCGTAATATTTGTTGTTATAAGTAATTTTGATTGTATTCATAATTTATAATCAAATAATGACAACACTTATCGACACTCATCTCATTTGAATAGCAATAAAAGATGGATTCAATCAATTCTTATAATAAAGATTACATTTTAAATATTAATGTTTTCCAATTCCCCATTTTGTCAAGTATTCTGTGTTCAGTAAATTGTGTGCAATATTTTATGTGTAACATAATTAATATGTAAATTTATTCAATATATTGCTGCAAATCTAGAACCCTTAATAATTGGTGACATTTTTAAAAGTAAAATAATTAAGAAAATAAATAAATAAATAAGAAATTATTTTTGAAATACAGTATAAATTAAAATCATATGATTTATACGAATTATATCATATAATGTAATTTCAAGTGAATTGAATTTGGTATGCAATGTAAATAATTTTAGATTAATTTTTGTAATGATTTGTGTGATATTTAGTAAAAATATTTTACATATAAAAAGTAATGTTAACATTCAAAACAGAAAATTAAATTTATTTCTTGATCTCATGCCTCAAATTTAATGTTTTCAATATTCAAATTGAAATTATAATTTATGAGAGTATTATTATAATTGGCTCTCTTTCTCTCTCATACGCACACATAGACACACTTCGTGTGACTTTTATGTAATTCATTATAATTTGTCAAAATTTCGAAAAATTCAAATCATATAAATGTTTAACAAATTAAAAGAAATAACAAATTCAACACAAAAACTAATAAAACTTGTCTTAAATCGAGTAAACAGTGCAATAAATTCTGCGAACACTTTAAACATATAATGTTTGCTAACATATGATATGATTTGATATTATTATTCGTAAAAAATCAAATTTTGGACAAATATTTGAAAATTCATATATTAAACAAATATATCAAACAAATGTAAATTCATTGTAAATTATATTAACAATAACAGTATTGTTAGGAATATGCAGTGCAGGCAAGTTATCATAGCATAGATAGGCATTGAGACACACTTCAAGCTAAACACGACTTACAAAAAGCTTTAATTAATGATTAATTTAATGTTAAATTTAACACATAATCAACGATTCATAGAGTAATTAAAGACAAGAGATATTTGTTTGAATGGAAAGATTGTATACTTATATCACTAGAAGTGGAGTCGTTGTCGTCTTCAACCAAATGGTTGTTTTCATTGTCGTTAGCGTTGGTTAAGAGATGAGAGGAATGCGAGGAATGGTGTCGTTCTTCCAGAAGACGATTGAAATAAATGGTCGCGTATTCTAAGAGATCCGTCGGTTTGTTAACCAAAACACTAACCGTGAAGTCTAGCAGAAGATTCGTGAGCTCTGCCGGCACTTCATATCTGCTGCGATTCAAACTCATGTCCAACATATGTCTTAAGTGAATATCATTAGTGAGAAGCACTCGTTTAGCTGAAGACAACGCGCTTTCAAACACTTCTTCGTTGCAAACAATGCTTTATTATTGAGAGAGCATTGGTTTGAGACAAGAATTCAAACTAAACAACTATCCAAACACTGATCACAAATATGACCACAACTCACAATTGATCAACTGATCCACTGATCCGTTCAATCACTTCTCGCTTCAAAATATTATTTATAATAAATTTCTGATTATTTTAGTAAACATTTCAATCTTTCATAGCTTTGGACTCAATAATAGATTCATCAATACATGAGAGTATCGATTGAGTGAAACCATTGAATCCATTGATTCAAACAAATGATGAGACAATTCCTCATTCAGAGAGTGACTGAAGTGAGTGAGAAGAGTATACCAGCAAAGAGAGCGAATCAGTGGAGAGAGAGAGAGAGAGAGAGAGAGAGAGAGAGATTTTGTTAAACATTTATATGATTTGAATTTTTCGAAATTTTGACAAATTATAATGAATTACATAAAAGTCACACGAAGTGTGTCTATGTATGCGTATGAGAGAGAAAGAGAGAGAGAGAGAGAGAGAGAGAGAGAGAGAAGAGGGCGTCCGAAGACCTAAAGAATAGGAGAATCTATTGATTTATATCGTAATGAAGAGAACTGTTGGCAAAAGCCATAAGCAGTGACTCATGATTTGCAAACCAATTCCCTCTTCAGTACGTCTGCGCTCTTTAACCGAAAAATTATCGATTTTTTGCAGCTTTTCTTTTGCACTCAATTTTCACCACCGATTCACACAATTCATACATACGTTACACAAGTTGTGCTGTTGTGCTGTCGAGGCTTTACGTGCGCTCACTATTTGCAACACAAACACTAACCCAAACGACAATCAACGCAACAAATCATATTTTTTAAGCATTTATTATTAATTGAAAAATTAAATTTTCTCAGAAAACATCAAACAAAATGATAAACAATTACATTGACTTAGAAAACAGTTATGGTTTGACTCAATGATTAGAACAATGACATGATATTTATATAAATCCTTAAAAAAATAGCCAAAAGTGTGAAAAGCATTTATTTGGACCGATTAAAGAAGGAATCGATAGTCGTTTGTGACTTTAACGACTGTTTTCGTGTTTTCTTTGTATCACATTTCTGGCTAAGTTTGCCATTCATTTTGCTGTCAGAATATAATCGTTTTGACGGCTTTTGTTTAGGAGTCGAGTTATGAGTCGTGGACTGTAATGGGACTTGTGTTAACTCGAGGCACTTGTCTTTGTTAAGGCACACATCGATGTGAGCGTTTAATTCGTCGTTGTCTTTAAGGACCAATTGTGTGCCACAAATGGGACACAAATTGTTTATATCTTTCGATTCATCATTCGTTTGAGGACTAGAATTGGTGTGAGAACTAGTGTTTGGCTCGGAATCGATGCTTATATCGGGGTCTGATGTGGAAATTTCGAGCATCTCTTCAATGCATGCATTTTCGTGGTCTTCGAACACATTCTTGTGTTGAAATGTTTCAAAACAAACCGAACACTCGTATTGAGAGGAATCATACATTTGGTTGAAATGAAAATTGCTTTCATTTCTATCATTGTTATCATTGACTGAAGTGTTGGATTCGCTTTCATCGCGTTTTGCTTCTTCCGATTTCTCAACTAATTGTTTGTCAGAATTAGTGTTAGTATTGCTTTTAATATTGCTGTTAGTATTGCTTAGTATCTCAGTATTAGTATTGCTTTTCAACGCTCTGTATATTTGAGACAAAGTCATTTGCGACGAAGAGGTCTTACGATTGGTTTCATTAGACTTTAAATTGGAAACTTTGAGACCAATTAATCGATATTTGCGTGACTCGATTGGAGTGCTCTTCAGTTCGGTATCCAATAGATTTTTGGCCACATTTAAAATGGTCTCCGAATCAAACGTATAGTACGGAAGTGTATGAGATTTGAGAGTCACTATAAAAGTGATTTTCTTCAGTTTAATTGTAATCGTTTTGCAGCTTTGGTTTTTGGAGTTCAGATCTTCGGCCAACTCTTCACTCAATTCACTGAAATAATCACAAATGGCTTCAAAAGTACTGACTTCGGCGACAGTGCGTTCGGAACTAACGCTTTTTCTCGGCTCTTCGTCTCTCTCGATGAGTTCAGATCTTCGGCCAACTCTTCACTCAATTCACTGAAATAATCACAAATGGCTTCAAAAGTACTGACTTCGGCGACAGTGCGTTCGGAACTAACGCTTTTTCTCGGCTCTTCGTCTCTCTCGATGACATGTCGACCAATTCCTAAGCCAACCCTCAGATAATACTCGGCATTGAATTGACTGAAAGCGAACCGAATTTTGTCGCGATTGTAATACAGATCTTTACATGTGTTGATACCAACAGCCGACAGGAACTGTGCCCTAACGGGTCCGATGCCATTCACCTTTCGGATCGGAGTGTCCTCTAAGAACTTCTCGATCTCCTTCTTATTGCCGCGAATCATGTGCTGACCGTCAGGTTTGTTGACATCAGAGCACACTTTAGCTCCCTAACGGGTCCGATGCCATTCACCTTTCGGATCGGAGTGTCCTCTAAGAACTTCTCGATCTCCTTCTTATTGCCGCGAATCATGTGCTGACCGTCAGGTTTGTTGACATCAGAGCACACTTTAGCTATCAATGTATTGCATGCGATGCCAGCGCTGGCACTCAATTGTGTTTCATCTAATATTCTTTGCCTGATATTAGTGACCACTTCTGCCGCCAAATCCCACAAACAAATGGGCAATTCTTTACAGCTTTTGAGAGATTGTTTGTCAAAGTTTTCGTTTCGCTGACAATACATGTCAATCACATAATCAGTTAAATCAATAAAACACTCGTCTAAACTCATTGAATACAGGTTGGGATCAAATTCTTTGATAATTGCCATCACGTGTCCACTTTCTCTACGATAATTGCCAAAACTATGTTTCACTAGAATCAGTTGCGGACACAAACGTCTGGCCAAAGCGCCCGGCATTCCAGGTCTGAATCGATATAAATTAAGTTAATTTCCAATACAAAGCAATCAAACAATTAGTTTAAGACCTGATCCCAAATTTTCGCGCCTCATAATTACTAGTGGCCAACATCTGGTCACTGCCGACAGCCATGGGTTTGCCTTTGAGTTCGGGCTTGAGTTTGGTCTCAACGGCGGCGAAAAACATGTCTAAATCGATGTGAACTATAATTGAAGTCATATTTCGCTTCATTTCTATACTATTGACACAATTGTCCGCTTCTTTCAAACATT